TACTCGCGGGAGGTGCTAGCCACAGTCTATTTTCACGGCATCGTGCACGATCATTGGCGAGAGGAGCAGAGCGCGAGGAGGATTTTACTGGCCCCAGCGGACTCCGTGCGGGGCGAGGTAGAGCGGCTGCACGAGGGTGTTCGGGGAGTGACGACGACCTTGAGGATTGGAGGACACTTCCCATATCCTAGCAGTCGACTACGAGTGACACTTCCGTGCTTCATGGCGGAGGAGCGTTGGGGACTTAGACGTCTGGGTGAGATCTACTTTGCGGCTCTTGACTTGGACGGCCTCTGCCGGGGGTACACTGACAGGGATTGGGTGTTGTATGCACAGTTTGTAGTAGGGCCGCTTGTAGGCGAGCGAGGGCTCCAGTTGATTGAGTTCCTGCGGGCCATTGTACCTACCGGGAGCCCCGACCTGTATTCTCTGTACCAGCCCCTAGCCTTCTGGACGGCGCTAGAGAGAGAGGCTCGGAGGCCTACTGATCATTTAGCTGGAGTGGGACAGCTGTTAGCCGAGACTCATGAGGAGAGGCCGGGCCATCTCATCTCGACCGGCGAGGTTGAGGAGTATTACCAGCAGGTATATCCAGAGGCTGATGGTCTTGCGTGGTACACCGAGGATCGGGATTGGGAGGACTTCTATGACATAGACCCCTGGGGTGACCAGGAGGACGGTTGGGGACATCACCTACAGGTAGAGGGACAGGAGGATATCCCATGGGGTCGGAGGCTAGATGAGGACACAGATGAGGATATGCCAGATGCATGAGTAGCGGAGAGTATGGCAGACCGGGATATGCTGAGGGTGACTCTTGCCCTGCGGCGAGATAGGACGGGTGGCTTGGAAGGAGAGGCGTTAGAGATTGTTGAGCGACAGATCGGACTCATGACGGAACATGCCCTGGAGATACGGAGGAGCCAGAGGTACGTCGAGTTTACTATCTACTTCCATGGAGCAGACTGAAGAGCGCACAACACCTACTCGACCATACTGGACCTGAGTGCGAGAGTTGTCTGAGGGGTTAGCAACGTCGAGAGATGGGGTGCATCAGAGGGAGTAGAGTGATGCTGACCGAGAGTCGGAGAAGAGATGAGGAGTGATTCAGTGGCCTGGTTAGCTTATGTTCTCTCACGAGAGTCCGAATCCTATAGTGTGAGAAAGCTTGTGGGACCCAGAGAGACGGCGGTTGGATACGACATACCACTTCATGTGGCGTTAGAAGGGGCAGGGCATGTTCCGATACAATACTTGGGAACGTGGCTCGTAGAGGGGCTCTTCCTTTGGACAGTGATACTACGAGACGAACGACCCGAGAGGACTCATGATCTAGAAGAGGTCGGACATCTGATAGCGGATAGAGCACACGATTTAGAGATAGGATTGACGCTCGCAGGGGCGAGCAGGAGCTGGTGGAGAAACGAGTCGTTGGCCAGAGTGATCGTTAATCAGCAACTGGCGAGACTCTCTGGAGGGAGGACGAGGTGGAGCTGCTTGGTATACGGTCCACCACATCCGACCCTCTACCCGAGAGAAGATTGGCGATTCGGACTTCCTGCCTTCGTGATAGGGCAGACCTATAGGAGCGTAGAACGTTTGAGTAGAGCAGTGGACCACACACTTTACGCGCTCTGGGAGGGCTTAGCGCCCCGTTTCAGGGAAGTATACTACGCCATTTGTGTGAGGTGGGGACCGCCCAGTAGAGAGATGCTTGACGACATCATAGACGTTACTAACTGGGTGGACTGTCTGAGCCCAGTCGATCTGATTAGGTGTTGCAGGAGACGGGCGAAGATCGATTATATGGGGCTGGAGGATGTGAGGTTTCTCTTCGAGGCCGCAGCTTAGGGAATGTCGGGGAGGACGGCCACAGTGATGCGTGTTGGGGAGCAACTGGTGAGCACCGGGTACACTGTGACAGTACTACTCCGAGCGTACATAGATGAGGACTTGACAGCGAGGGAGTGCAGACAATGAGCCGGGGATTTGATCCACGAGCATAGAGCTGATGTACTGGCGCGGGTGACCTTCCAGACCTCGATTTCCTATGAGGTGATGATATGGTCACATGGCTATATGCGTCCGGAACACTTCCATGACGAGACGGTAGAGGAGGCTAGAGCAAGAGTGAGAGGATGAGCTGGAAAAAGATGAAGACTGAGTATGGAAGAGGAGAGTGATGCAGTCGGAAGAGTGAGAGAGCGCATTAAAGAACCGCTTTTGAACCAGGTAAAGGAGTTAGGGAACAAGTTAAGGGAGATCTGGTCGTGCCAGGATGAGAGCAAGTTGTGTGGGGCTGAGCTCGTGACGAGAGAGTTGGAGAGTCTATTTAGGGAGGAAAGAGAGATTATCCAGGCGTGAAGATCAAACTTTCTTGAGAGGGTAAAGGCTAGAAGCGTATCACGCGAAGGAACTAGTGAGAGGTCTGCAAAGGGCGTGACAACGGAGGACGAGGTAACGCAGGGAGGTAGCGACAGGACATGAGCGGGACTGCACTAYACACGACGGATCGGTACTCATTGCATGTGGTAGGGAGATTGGACGGACCATTGGTGTTAGTGATCGTAGAGCTCCAGCTCCATACCAGACTGTGCATAGWTGAGGAGGCAGAGTGTGTCCGYCGTGCCCTGCGTGAGGCCAGGGGGACAGGACTTTGGATTGGAATAGAAGGAGGACGGAGGATAAAATACGTACTCCGAGTAACACCTTTTGAAGGGCAATCGCGGATAAGGGCATGATACGAGACGATCAGAGAGGATGAGAGGTTGAAGATAAGCTAAGCCAGGAAAGCTGGAGAGTTAGGGAGAGTTGTAACAGACGGTGCCATACTTAGGGTGCTAGCCGCTCACAATCGGTACTGGAAGGAGTTGATAAAGACTTTAGAGGCCATAGAAGATGATGGAGATGAGGAGGACTTTGAGACATTCTATGACATTTTGGAGCTGTCGGTGATGAGGTTACGAGTAGCTATAGCACTGACTTACCTCAGGTGCTAGACAGATGATCTCATAGCTGTTTGGGAGTTGAAGGAGGAGAAATAGAGGTTGGAAGCTCTTGGAAGGAAAGTACAGGTCAGAAAGGTCGGCGAACGACTTTGGATGGCAGTAGGAGGAGAGTTTCCACCTTCAGCACGCTACCCGACTTATGACGGGCTAGGAGACCTAGCAAGGAGGGTGGAGTTAGACGCTCGGAGGCTCTTGAGGGGGTTTTGATCAGGAGACATAGGCTAGGCTTGGGACTGCGGTCTGCCGCAGGTGTAGAGATCCTGTCACGGCTATACTGCTGATCCAAAGAGGCGCGGCCTTGTTGGCCGATCCCGAAGGGGAGGTCTACCTAGACACAGGGATTCTTGGGATAGAGGGAGAGCACGAGATCCGCGACCGGAACCGAGTACTGGTG